AAACTTGCCATTTTCTTAAAAATCTCTATTTCATTCATTTTTGTTTTTGCTGCTTCAAGTACGCTTGTGTCATACCCAGCTCATGACTCCAAGCCTAGAATCGCCCAGTGCAACGGGTACAAAATGGATCGTGAGAGCCTCACAGCTTGTCCCTGAAGGTGATCTAGGGGTTGTCAATGCTTGTGTCATACCCAGCTCATGACTCCAAGCCTAGAATCGCCCAGTGCAACAGGTACAAAATGGATCGTGAGAGCCTCACAGCTTGTCCCTGAAGGTGATCTAGGGGTTGTCAACCCTTGTTCTTAGGTGACCTTCAAGGACCTCTGAAATGTGCAGCATGAGTCCATGAGAATGTTCCAGTTCTCTTAAAAATTATGTAAAGTTTTGTCATCTGCTACTATTTATAAGTGATGATTTTGCCACTTATTTGAATTAAGAAAAAAAAAAAAGTCCGTAGATCACTGAGCACTAAATGCTGATACATCTTATATTATGTAAGGGCCATCGGCTTTCCTATTTTGGACAAGGAATTTACCTAGCATTAGATAAACGATCCTGCTCATAGGCTACTCTTGGGTTAATTTCAAGAGGGGTCCACAACATCTATTTTCCTTAAAAAAATCACTAGCCAAGGTAATTTACTAAGTCACTGTGACCATGTCCAGAGCTACCAGTGCATTCTCTCCATGACCAGTGCTTTGTTGACAATAAGGCATGACATCAGTTTATTTGAAAAGTATCTGCGTTGTAAAAACACCACTGTTTTGTTGTTTTAAAAAAGCATTTCTGGATTCTCTCAAGGCAGAAGAAAAAGACCAACCAGAATGCAAGACAATTTAGAATATAGAAAAAGGAGCTTGGGTATACTTTTAAAAGCCACTTTGCCCACTAAAATGCCATTTTATTTACCCTCTCTACCCACTTTGGCTGACATTACACACACATACTAGTTATACTATATCTTGCACTGTTATCTTACAACTCAACTATGAAAACTTGTAATAAATGTACTTGGAAATTACTTGATGAATACAAATAGCCAGAAAACTCCACTCAAGGAGAGACAGACAGTATCTTCCTTTTGTTACTCAGATTCTGATTGCCCTGCTCTGATTTCTACGTATGTGGTCCATACTAATAATTTTATAATAATACGACATGGTCTCCTGGTGAGAAAATGTGCATTATCCTGCTTTTAAGTCAGGAAAACACTCAACAGGGTGTCCATTTGGTAGCTAATCCATGTACACCTGGTGTGAGCTAAAAGCACTCCACAGTCAGTAATAAACACCTCACACTAATGAGCACACACCATGAGCCCTGCTACTGCCCTTATAAAAAACTTAACAGGAAAAGGCAAGAAATTTACCCAGTAAAATTAAGTGCAAAAAAGCCGCCAGGGAAAATAATCCTTTGAGGTGTTATCCAAGGCAGGTAGTTATGGGGGTTAGGGGAGACTCCAAAGGAACCTGGTAGAAAGTCTCTGCTTTTTCCTGCCCTGCCCCAGCCTGAGAGGCCACAGGATCCCATTGGGACTCTGCACTCAACTTCCTCAGCCCTTCCCAGGGGACCAACTGAGTACTGGGTAAAAGGAACATTGAGGGCCTCGGGGATTTGGATGAGAAGGAGGAACTAAGAGAAGATGACAGGAAAATAAAGAGGATGAAAAAAATGTTCTGTATCATTTAAACCCGCTTAATAGATTCCTGTGGTTGGATTTAAGAAGTGGCTTTCTAGCCCCCAGTGAATGAATTCACAATCTCAAAGACTCTTCAGGTAATCAGACAGGGGCATGGTTTTATTACAACTGCATTTGCAGAGCCCCAATGACTGATTTTCTCCTGGGCCAGCAGGAGGTGATCTTGTGGCATGGTTACAAGCATGAGGGCTGGACTCAGGCCACCCTAGGTCTCAACCCTGCCTATGTTGTTTAACCCTGTAAGCCTCAATTTCTCCATCTCTAAAATGGGGAGTCACACCTTTACCTTCAGTTCGAGATTAATACAATAAATTAAGAAAAGAGTTCGGTGCCTGGCCTGCAGAAAGCATTTAACAGATGATGCTAAAGTAAGTCAACGTGGTTGTAACGTCTGTGATGACTCTTCAGCAATGTTTACACAGAGGCAGCAACAGAAAGATGAACTCTACAGTCTTTAGACAAAGCAGGTTTACCCCTCTAAAATCCAGACACTGTTCCTTTTTTAGTCTAGTGTATTCTATAGAGGAGAGACCTCTGTTGAGAGCCTGGAGTGCCTGGCATGGTGGTCTGCGAGCAGACGGAGCAGGCCTGTCTTGAGAGCTTGTGCTCTTAGAAAAATGCCTGACAGTTAACCACACAAATATCAACAGATTCCACAGCCCATGCATGGTATTTCTGTGTCCACTATGGGTTAGAGCAGAGGCACGTGTCCCTCTGGGGGTACATGAAGATGCGGAGCGTAC